CGGGAGCCTGGGCGGCTCTGGTCCGTCCGGCCGTGCCTGTGCTCTGGGCCTGTCGGCTGCCTCTCCTGCACGTCACCTCCGGAGGCGGGTGGTGAGTCAGAGCAGTGAGCGAGCTCAGCAGGGTGGGGCGAGGAGGAGGGAACCTTGGTGGAGCCTAGCTGGCCGGGCCTGACCCAGAACTACCCCCGCCCGAGCCACAGCCTCCTGTGGGCGAGACCTCCGTCCTCCTCCCGCTCCTCCAGCCTTGTCTGCGGTGCCCCTGCCCTGCCCCGCCCCCGTACACACAGGAAAGGGGCAGTGAGTCTGCAGGGCCGGAACAGGCCTTTCCGACGCCATAAAGCCGTCTCCACCTTCTGCGAGGCCCGGAGGACTCACAGCCCCGGTGGGGCCGTCCTGGGGTCAGACCCTGGACCTGACCCTTGGCTTAGAAATCAGAGCAGGTCCCGTCGGCCACACGCAGGCCACGCACCTTGCGGTCACAGAGCGATCGGAGAAAACTCATGGAAACTCACTGGGAAACTTAGTTTCCCCATCAGATTAGCGGGATGTGTAACGGGTACAGATGTTCCAGACTCTGCTGCAAAAATAGGAACAGTATATTTTAAGAGATGGTGTTTTGCATATTTTGTTAATAATTGATACTATCCCTTCACTTATTTCTTGTTTGTTTACTCTGAGGCAGACAGGTATGTTAGATGCCAATGTGCAAAGCCCAATTTATAAGAGAATTTCTTTAAAATATGTTTTTATTGATTTCAGAGAGGAAGGGAGAGGGAGAGAGGGGAGAAAGAGAGAGAGAGAGAGAGAGAGAGAGAGAGAGAGAGAGAGAGAGAGAGAGAAACATCAATGATGAGAGAGAATCATGACTGGCTGCCTCCTGCATACCCCACACTGGGGATAGAGCCTGTAATCCGGGCATGTGCCTGACTGGGAATCGAATTGTGACCCTCTTGGTTATAGGTTGACGCTCAACCACTGAGCCACGCCGGCCGAGCTATAGGAGAATTCATTCTCCCTCCCTCCTTCTCTCTCCTTCTTTCAAAGTTTGCTGAGCATTTACATTCCCGGTGCAGGAAGCTGCAGTGAACAAAAGCAGCTGAGAGCAGGGCAGACATGTACCCGCGCACATTGTCTTCTCGGGAGCGGGAGGTGGTGGTCAGTGCCCGCGGCCTGAGGAAGAGCGTCCTCAGAGGAGGCACGGAGTGGCCAACAGCAGCCCCGCACCTGCTCATTGCCTCTGAGGCGGGAGGAGTGAGCAGCGGTGCTGTGGCCTGAGCCTCGGAGGGCTCCCTTCCTGCCGGGAGAGGCTGACTGACCCGGAGGGAGAGCCTCGGTCCTGGCCACCGGCCACCGGCAGGGGCCCCCAGACCAGGCTGAGCACGCCCCGAGACAGCATGGCCATCACACTGGACGTAGCCTGCAACTGCTCCTTGCTCTGAGGGACAGGCAGGGGAGAGACGGGCAGGAGAGCCACCCTCGGGGGTAGAGACCCCCGTCACCCAGGATCCTTTTGGTCCAAGGCATAGACCTCTGCCCACATGGCACCCCCTGGCACCAGGATGCTTGGGGAACTCTGGTAGCACCCTGAGGACTGGGGGGTCGAGATAAAGTGATTGGCTCTAGGCGGTTTGGCTCAGCAGATAGAGCGTCGGCCTATGGAGCAAAGGGTCCCGGGTTCGATTCCGGTCAAGGGCATGTACCTTGCTCGCAGACTTCTCTCCGACCCAGGCCCTGGTCAGGGTGCATGCAGGAGGCAACCAATCAATGTGCTTCTCTCACATTGATATTTCTCTCTGTCTTTCCCTCTCTCTTCCACTCTCTCTAAAATCAATGGGAAAATATCCTCGGTGAGGATTAAAAAAGAAAGGAAGAAAAAATAAAGTGATGGGTCAGTGCCAGCCCTGGAAGATTCAGAACTGCTCTGGGGACCGGGAAAGGCTCCTGGGACATTAGT